CTGATGGGACCCTAAAGAGCCTACTGCAGGCCGCCAAGCCCTTGATGCAACCCCGGATTACCCAGGGTTCTTGCATCAGTGGTATGCATGTTTGCCTCCCAGCTTGTTGCCTGGCCAAAACAGCCAAGGCTCCTTTGCTGTGATGCAGATTAATCTGGGTGAAGGCCACCCCTCTCGATCCCGCCATTTAACTGCGAGACCGTTTTAGGGAGCTCCTCCTTATCCCCCCTTACCCCTTTTCCCTGGGCTCCACTTACCCGAAAGGCAATCCTGTCGAGCCCAAAGAATGGTTTGAAGTCCAGTGTTCTCAATTTGAGGACACTGGACTCCGGGACACCGAGGACCAGATTCCCACCTTCCCTGGTGGCCCCTACCCTCCGCGAACACTAACCAGCTTCCGGTGACAAAACCCGGGTTCTGCCTCCCCAGCCGCTTCAGGACTGTGGCCGCGCCCTCGGGAGGTCCCGGGACCCAAACCACCGCCCTGTGCTGCTTTTGAAGCGCGTCCATGCCCATCACCCTGAGCTTGGCGCCCTCCCACGGAATGATGCCGCCGATCTGCCCCGCGAGCCAACCTAGCGACGCCTCATCCGCGCATTTTACCACCGCCGCACCACTCCTTAGAGATGTGCTGTGGAGTCTGGGCACCGAACCCTCTTGGATCCCGTCGATCTCCTTCGAGACCGCATCCCTCAACAGAGTCAACTGCTCTACAGTGATTTTTGCCTCGGGGTAGCCCTCCGTTACAATCACCCTTGCCAGAGGGTCAGCAGCGTCCGCATAGGCTTGGTGCCCTGTATCGTGAGCCCTTTGCCTCTTCAGCGGACGGCCGCCCGATGGAGGGGTTTCGTTGAAGCCCTTCCGACGTTTACCATCAGTGTGCCCCTTCACCACCTCCACCGGCGTACAAGGGGGAGCCACGGGGAGAGAGCGAGTCCCTTCCGGAGCCCCTGCTCTCCTCCGCTTCGCCCTCCTTTTTTCGGCCCCGCATCTGTTCTTTTTACAAGAAGGTGAAGCCTCCTGCCGCGTAGCTGGGCCGGCTACTTTTCCGGAGCCGTTAAGAGTTCCGTCCGTTACCGCCGTCCCAGCCCCTTCCCTTGGAAACCCGTCACGCAAGCCCTTCGATCTCCCACTTTGTCCTCTGAATTTATTATGTCAATATCCATTGTGGTCCCACGAGTAGCAAGGGAATTACACGGTCCGCCCACGAAGAGC